CAATCCTATTTCTTCTACCAACACCTATGAATGTTTGGTAGATTTCAATGTAGAATAAAATTTCAGATGCCTCAGTTCTCGTCATTTGATGAATTGTAATAAACTATACTTAATAAAATAAAAACAAAGCCAGGCATGGTGGTGCATGCCAGTAATATCAGCTCTTGGGAGGCTGAGGTAGGAGCCTCAGCAACTTGGTAACTTGCTTTAAAATTTAAAAATATTAAAGAGCATTGGTGATGTAGCACAGTGCAAAGAGCCTGGGTTCAATTCCCAGTACTACCAAAAAAAAAAAAAAAAACCCTCAAACAAAAGGGTCCTTGTCTTTACCTTTGGGTAACTACTAATTGAGGTGTCACATAAATGTAAGGAAAAATTTCTTGGCAGGAGCAGACTGCTGTAGGCTTGTGATTCTAGTTAATTCAGCAATACAGTTTTACATCTGTCATATAGAAAATGTAATTGCAAGTACTGAAAATATTTTTGATGCTTCTGTACTTGTAGTTATGTTATTTCTGCCTATGTAGTTATCCTGGCAGCAACAGTATGGTGCCTGCCATACTGTACGCATTAAGTAGCTGAATGCTGAAAGACAATAGGTTTGAACAGATTGCATATGATTGCATCACAAATATATATTAAAAATCTAGAAGATAACCCAAAAGGCAATTATTTTTATTGCCTAAGTAAATGAAATAAATCCTATTCTTGATAGGTCTTATACATAGGAACATCTGAGAGAAATAAAAAATGCACATTCTAGCATTTGATTTTGTTATCTGAAGACATAAAATGATTTTTTTTTTTTTTGTCTTTTTGAGACAGATTCTCGCTATGTAGTTAAGGCTGGCCTTAAGCACACTCTGTAGCCCCAGCTGGTCTCAAACGGCAATTCTCCTCCCTCAGCCTCCCGCATGCTGGATTTCAGGTGTGTGCCACCATGCCTGGCAACATAACATGATTTTAAAATAAAATGATGATGGGTGAAGAAAGGCAAAGGAAAATAAGCAACAATATCCTTTGAATATCTATCTGGCTTGCAGGGCTGGGGATTTATTTCAGCAGCATAAGACCCCGTCTAGAAAGTGCAAGTTCATGAGTTCAACACCCGATACAAAAACAATATGAGTATTTGGCTTCAATGATGAGCTTTTTCAAACTATCAACTCTGCTTGACACACTCATCTGTTTAAAATAACTAATACTGTAATATTTAGCTCCCATATTCAAAATGCAATACTAGCTTTCTACTCATATGAAATACAATTCAAAGTTCTTAACACCAATCTCTTTTCCTAGGTATTATATGAACTAATTCCTGTCCATTTTTCTACTCTTCCCTTTTCTCTATCTATTCTCCATTACTGAGCAGCATGACCTATTTCACACCTCAACTTCCTAAATACATTGAGTTTCTATTTTAAAATTTATAAATTTGACTTACACTTAGCTGCAAGTAATATTATTCTAGTGTCATTTTTGCACTTTATTTTCACATCATCATTCAAAAGTTATCCTTTATACAGGCCTTCTGTGATGATTCAGTTAAGCACTATGGTCTATCGCTTAATGTTTGCCATTTGTATAGTGAGTTTCAATATTTAAGTAGTACTCTTGGTTTATATATGTACTCCTCCTCATCTGGCACCTCACGCAAAATGAAAATTCTGTGAAGTTGAAGATTTTACTGCTTTTGTTCACTACAAAAAAAGCATTACCCAGAAGTTTAAAAACGATCACTGATGGCTGACCTATTCATTTATAAAGCTATCAATCTGGCTATGAAAATATAGCTTAAATTAGAATTACAATCTTCTTCATTATATCTATAGGTATTCTAAAAAGCATAAAAATAGAGCTGTAGACATGAAGAACAATCAATGCAGGTGAGACACAAACTCTAATGGAGAAGAAAAATAGAAAACACATTAACAAAGGTAAAAATAAGCCTCACGAGGATCTCTGCTTATAAAATATCTCTTTATCAGAACACAGTTATATCTTTTTAAAACTAAAAGGAAAGATCTTCCAGCATCTTTACATTTTACATCAATAAAGCTTGATACTTAATCAAAGATTAATTACTTGGAAAGAAGAGTGAAAAACCAAAAAATAACCAGTCAATAGAAATAAACCTCTGAGTGATCCAGGCTGATTATCTCAGGACTAACAGCCTCTTTGAATAAGAATTTGACAGAACTAAAAGCCAATTTAAAATAACTCATAATCACAGTAAGAAATATTAGTCCTCCTCTCTCAACCCATAAACCATCCTCCCCACAAATCTCTAAAGATTTAATTTTTAAAAAATACAACTAATAAACTAGAAGGAATTGAGACTTTAGTAACACTATATATAACTCCAACAGCATACACATTCAAGTTTACTTGAACCATTTCCCCAATATGAGATGTTAAGACAAATTTTAAAGAAAGTGTATTAATCTTACATAAAACTCTTCCAGAAAAAAGGAGTACAGGAAATGTTGCCTACCTAAATGTATAAGAGAAACACAACTGTCATGCCAAAACCCAAAGGAAATTATACAAGAAATAAAATTTACAGGCTAACCTTACTTTTTCATGCATATAAATACAAAAATCCTAAAAAAATATTAGCATGTCAAATCTATTGATATGTTAAAAAGATACTGCAGTATAGTTCAATTAGTCTGTTATAGGAGTACAAAGGTTAATGTTAAAAAGTCATCAATATGATGTGAAAGAAAGTATGTGACAAGTGACAGAATCATCATCATCATCTTAGTTATCATGATCATCTTAACTTCTAAAAATGCCAAATGAAGGTAACTTCATTAATCCACAGAGAGTTTGTTCAGTCAGCCCCAAGAAATATTACATAGTGACAACATATTGAATGTATTATCCTGAAATCAGGAAGTAGGAAAGGATGTTTGCTATGATCACCACTATTCCTCCCATCCTAGAAAAAGTAATTGAGACAATAAGGAAAATAAATGACAATTAGAAAGATTAAGACAATTTGCTATTCTTGGTTGATACCAATATGTATACAAAGTATTCAAAAGACTTGAAGACAATCTATTAAAACTGATAAGTGATTCCGCCAAGTGGCTGAATGCAAAATCAATATGCAAAATAAGCTACATAGTCTATGCACTGACTGAACATAATATCAGAAAACATCAAAGATCACTCTAAAGAAAATCTTCATAATTTCTTGCTATTGTGGATATTTCAAAAATTTTGGATATGTTTTTAGTCAGTTTGACCATACAGAAAGAAGAGATGGCCTCTCATTGATAGACATCATTGTGAAACAGTATTTTCACTGTGAACATATTTTGTTCCATAAGGATAAAGGCTTCAGTTCACTTATCTGCTCAAGAATCAAGGAAATTAAATTTAATTTGGAAGAGCATCAGAAAGAAATTAACAATGGCAAGTAAAACCAATGATTCTGAATGTGTGATATAAATGGGTTTAAAATATATAATTAATCTCAATATAGATACAATCTTTTTCTTAAGTAGAAATAGAAACATGTTTCTCTCAAGGAGAAAATACTGCTGTGACAAAGGAAATTTCAGAAAAAAAAACATTTAATTTCTTTAAGTATTTGAGGCTTGAGGAAACAAAGGGTATGAAATAGCTGTAAATTTTTAAATTTTAATCTCTGTGATCAGATTAAAAATATTAATTCCAGTATTTCTAGAAATATTTGATTAGCACTGCGTTTCAAAAGTGCTTTCCTATCCAAACAGAAGAGAGGAATTTTTAAAGGCTTCCTTTTGATTAAGCTATAATCATAACTAGAAAATAATTCAGATGGTAACAATAGGATTTTGTGAATAATGACTCATTGATATAATACTTATGAATTCATGTTTCAGTGTTGCAAGGAAATTTGGTGATAGTTAACTATATCTGATAGAAAAAAAAGACAATATATAAAGTAGATTTTGTCTTCTGATTAAATTTTGAAAAATACTGTAATAATTAATGTATCACATATGCACACACATGCAACTGGAAAAATACATTTAACTCTTGCACTTGTTTGCCAGAAATTGGTTCCAAGACTTTCAATGAATACCTGAAGTTGTAACTACCCTCACTTTTTCGTATGTGTTTTTTTTTATTGCATACTTATGACAAAGTTTAATTTCTAAAGTGAACACCATATGAGATTAAAAACAATAACAATAAAATAGAGCGATTATAGCAAAATAGTGTAAGAAAATTGCCAGCATCGCTACTGTTAAGACTCCAATTTTAAAAGTAAAATTAGGGCTACTTAACTACAGCACTCTGAGAACTACAACATCGATCATATAACTGAGATAGCTACTAACTGGCCAGTGGGCATGTTGTATGCAGTGTGGACATGGCAAACAGAAGGATGCTTTAGGTCCTGAGCAGGACAAAGAATGATGGCATGAGATTTCACTGTGATACTCAGCACTGTGCCCAATTTAAAACTTACAAACTGTTTATTTCCAGATCCTCCCGCTAACATATTCAGATCATGGCTGAAGAGGGGATTTCTGCTGAAGTATCAAGTTCATAAAATACACAGAAAAACTGAGACGTTGTTCTAGCTTAAGGAAGACTAAGGCAAAATGATAACTAATAACCTGTGATCTTTGATGGACTCTGATACAGTGTAGGACATTAGTGAGAAAAAGTGGCAAGCTTCAATCAGGTCCATTAGACAGTAGTATTGTATCAATGTTGACTAAGTATGGCTACCACACTGTGGTTAAGTTATCATTTGGAGAATCTACCAAAGGGTAGAAGACACTCTTGTAATCATTTTGTGACCACTTTTACACACTCCACAAGCTTTCAGGGCAAATCAAGTTGTTAGGAAACTAGTAGTGTTGCTGTCTCAAATGTTATCTGACAAAAAATGAACTATAACTTAATGTCACTAGGATGAACACCTTAGAAACTGGTTTAGCTCACAAAGTACAATATTTTAAGTACAACATTAGTTTGTGGTAGTTGGCACTTACTTCATCGAAGGTAAAATCATTTAAATCTATTTCTTCATATTCTTCTTCAGATTCTTCTTTCTTGATGGCTTCTAGTGCTACTGTCAGTTTCTTCCGCAAAATAAATCCCTTCCAAATTGCCTAAATAAAAATTTAAACTATGTTATACAGGGTTATAGACCAAACCTCAAAACATATTCTCTGTGTTATCCCATTAGGAAAATAAAACATCTTGGAACTTGGTTTAATGGCTCAATAATCTGTTTTTTGAACTTTATGTGACACTTAAAACAGCAAGATAAATTAAAGGACGGCATGTATCTGAATCTCAGGAGACTTTCTTTGTGGTGAGCAGAAAAGAATCTTTAAAACTCCCTCAACTGCACATGTAGGTCAACCAATCAGTTATCTGACAATTCCTCCAAGGACTCATTCTCCACAAAGAAGAAAGAGATACAAAGAAAAACCAATATTGCTCATTCTCAAATGATTACACATAAAGTAAGCTAAACTACATTTAGGAAAACGTTAACATCCACAAATGGCTGCATTAGAGAAGAAGGATCAAGCTCTGTAACAACTAATTAATTTCATTTAAAAATAAACGCAGCACAAAATAACAAAACTGAAAACATTTAGGTTCTCTAATAACTGTGGAATATAGAAAGTTTCTGGGCTACACATACAAGCAAAGTGAAGCTTTAAAACATACAGAGAGGGAGTGACCTGTAGGATATTTTAAGTGCAAAAATGACAGGAAAAGTAAGTATATTTTGCATGTTATAATTTATCAATGAAAAAATAACATAAATATAAGCATATAAATTACATAAACACATGAGTATACATGATTGCTTAAATTTAAAGATATAAATCATGAAATTAATTTTAAAATATTGATATATAAAGGCAGAAAAGAGTAATATCTACAGCATTAGAAACTTGAATTCTCTGAATATTCCTTGCTTGAACTTGACTTTGGAACCAGGCACGTGTTTAAAATAATTACAAAAGTTAATAACAGGCTTATCTTAATAACAGGCAATATCTTAAATATAAAAAAAATGTTTCAAGCTATGAGAATCATCACAGCAAGTTATTTAACATGATTTTAAAATATGTTTATGTAACTAAAACCTCATGAAACACACTTGACAGATATACTTGACTGTAAAAGATACCTTAAAACAACTTTAAATAATTATATTGTTAGTAAGAATATTAGTATTATCATATATATATATAAAAGATAAATCACCCACAACCTCTCTGCAGCAAACAGCCTTGGAAAGCAATCCATAACCTCAGCAAGAGTCCAGGAAGCTAAATAACAATCTTGGCAGCAATTAGTCCAGAATTCTCAACCCTTGGTGAGTAATTACCAGCTGTACTGTTTTTGCCTCTACTTAGGACCAATCGCAGAATGCTAAAGCTGCTTCCAAAGCCAAAAACTTAACATGCTCCACTACTACCCTCTTCCTATCTACCTTTCCCATATCAACAAATAATCAAAGCATATATGAAATAACTGAAGACCTTGTCTCTCCCATCCCTTCTTAGTCTTTAAGCCTATGTCATTGCTACAACACTGTCCAATAAATAGACCATTTTTATCTTATATGTGAGGTCTTTATGTCCACATGTATATATACATGATGCAAAAGCTCACTCACCAGCCTCGCCACTAAAAGACAGAGTAAGAGGAGAAAAAGAACAATTATATCAATGTCATTAAAAACCAAGATTTCGTAAAGATGAAAACAGATGAAACATAAAATCAAATAATGAAAATTCTGTAGCCCTAAATTTAATTGCAAAATACATATGCAAATCAGGGAGAGTAATAGGTAGCATGGATTTTGAAATTTATTAAATGTCTATTGTATGCTATATATAAATGAGTGAGCAATGACACAAACATAGAGATTCTCTATCCGTGGCCTTTCTGTTAGGGTGGAAGACTAAAAACAACCCCAAGAAGTAAGAAAAATGTATTGTATGCTAGACAAATGCTATGGACAAACCAACAAAAACAAGTAAAGATCATAAATTTAAGGTTCTACACTACTCAGATAAACTATATGAAATCAGAATTCTTAGATGTGTGGTCCTGGGAAGAACCCAGAGGGTGAGGGTACGGATGGATACAGAGAACTTCACGGAATTGCTAATCTCTCAGGAGCTACAGCGCTTTTACCATGGTGCATCGAGTCTGCAAGCACACTCCGCGTGCTTAGCCTCTTTTTCTGACAGGTACAGTGGGAATGTTCTTTTCCACTCCCGAGATGATTACATGAGCCTTTCACTGTACCCATCTTACTCCGAAAACCATGAGAAACCCTGGTTTCCAGCAAAAGGTGCAGTAATTTACCTCTTCTTCTGGGTGGGGATGGTGCTGTAAAAAGGCTAGTTTTCCCCTATTCATCCAACAGGTTTAAGGTGAAAATTCAAGTTTTGCTTTCAAATCTGAGACAGATCCCTCTCCAGCATTCTCTGTGTTCTGCTTATACCCCCAAATCTATCTTTTTCTACATGGAGTGAAAAACTTACTTCAATCAAGCCACACCATCTACCACAACAGGCTCTTTTTTATGTTCTTCGGAGACAATCTCACCACAGAAGAATTAAGTTCGGACACTATAACTCCCTATGAAAAATTACAATTTATTTTGCTCTCACATGTGTTAGACTTCAAATTCCACTCAAAGAGACAGATACTTCTTTTTCCAGGAAAAATATGTGGTAGGTCTGGGAATCATGCAGACTGTATCCTCTATTTATTGTCTAAATGATTTTTCTACTTTTCACTGGTACATGTGTCTTTCTGTCCAACTTAAGAATTTTAACTCAATTATGAGGTTATCAACACTTTAAAAACATATAAAATGAAAAAGATAAAAATAAAATATAATTCCTATATAGCCTTAATTAGAAATTTTGTATAGTGGTTAGGACATGACTAATCATATAATGGGTACTTATTTAAATATTATTACTTTGATCCTTTATATGTAACAATTGTATTTGCTTGGTTATTTAGTTCATCAAGTAAGAAAATCACATACTAAACACTGTATAAAGTTCAAAAATACAGCTGATTAAATTCTAATCATTTTTCCTCTAAAAATTGAACGATGGGCCAGACATGGTGTCACCTTCTTGTAATCCCAGCTGCTTGGGAAGAGGAAGAAGGATCACAAGTTTGACCTGAGCTCAGACCCTGTCTCAAAATTAAGAATAATTTTTTTGAAAGGGGTAGGGATGTAGCTCAGTGTAGAGGCTCTGACTTTGATCACTAGGATTGCTAAAAGAAATCACAGTACAGATAACATTCCTTTCTTTGGAAACATTATGAACAATTTCTAACTTCTCAAGAAACTTCAAGATTCTCCTAACATGAGGAGCAAAGGGTATTGATACAGACAAGAATTATGATTTTATTAAATCATACAAAGAAAAAAGAGAACATTTTTGTGAGTTAAGAAGCAAAATTAAAAGTATTTTTTAAGAAAGTAGCTTTCTTCTTTTTAACTTACTTTGGAGAATATTATCAGTTTTTTGCCTTCTTAATTTTTTTGTCTCATAAAGCTGAATGGTTATTACAGACTATTTTTCACCTCTTTCATTTTGAAATTCAGTAAAAGCACTTAAAAATTATTCAATATTTGATATAATATAACAGATAAAGAATAAAACGTACAGTCCTCTTTTTTAGATTGTCTTACTGGGGTATATATTTTCTGTTGGGTCCTGGCTTCCTCTGAGAATGTGGCACCCTAATATCCTAGCACAGTAAGTGGAAAGATCTCCTGACCCTTTGCATCCCTTTCTCACTGACTCTGTCTTGCAAGGTTCTAAGAATTAAGGAGACATATTTTATTTCCCTGGGTTATTGTTTCTAACATCAACTTCTGCATTGGCACTCGCTTGCTTATGATTATAATTATAACAAGATTAGGTATATAACAATGAAGGGACTAGAAAGTACAACCTGTAGATATTCACAACATGATTCACCAGATCAATGCATTATGACTCACAGCTTGTCTATCCCAAATCACCATCAGGGCAGAAACTCCTACAAAGCCTGCAATGTGTGTTTTTCTCATGTGACACCAACACATAATTCCCTCTTGAATGTATGTAAGGTCAGATATGCATGTTCCAGGCATCTTTATTCAATTTATTGGAAATAACAGTAACATAAGAGTGTTGGTAACATTCAGATTATTTTTCTAATTTTCTTGCTTTGGTCAAAAGGAAGACATTTTTTACCATTGATCCATCTGCAATTAATTCATCTCTTTACATATTCAACTTACAGCAAGACAATTCTCCCACCATTGAATACATCTGGCATCACTTTCTTCTTTCAACTACCACTAAGTATCACCATTCAGAACATATCACACACTTGTTAAAAATCTATCACCAAGTGCTCTAAAGGATATAACTGTATGTATAGATGTGTAAGATAGATTATCATATTGTTAAATTTTTGTTGGATCATGGAACAGAATGGCTTGCACTGTCAATGTTTGAGGGTCTATCCACTTTTTATGCTGTGATTTTGTAACTTGAACAACTATTTCTAAGATGACAATATGTATCAACTAGAAATTCCTTAGTGTTAATTTTTCTTGTTGAATTTTGTGTTATTTTACTCTTTTCTATTTTGCTTTTTTTTCTTTCTTTAAATAAAAAAATAAAAATCTATCACCCATCTCTGATCATGTTTCTTTGCATAGCCTTTGAATATTCTGGTTCTTTTGGAAATCTCACTGCAATGTGATCTGTCATTGCTCTAGTATCACGAAATCATGTACAAATATATGTACATGTATATATATATATATATATATATATATATATATATATATATTGCTTTCATTTCCTTCATATCTGGCCTGGAATTTCATCCTGTAAAATATTTAAATTTATGCAGTAATAGATAGATCCAAACATGTGTAATAATTCCAAAAATGGTTTCTTTTTAGATTGTATAACCAACACTGACAATGCTTTAACATGAAATGGTCAAACACTGAGACTTCTCAGTCTTCAGTTTGAATAGATTCCAAGAATGCTCCCGAGACTTTGCATTCCAAGCAAGGAAAAGAAATATAATATGGTATATCTTGAGGGAGGCTTTCCAGGGCAGATAAGGAGGAGGTGCAGCCATTTTTCATTCACATTCTAATAACCAGAACTTAGAAAGAAGGCCACAATAAACTGCAAGAGAAGCGGGGACATCTACCTGGCTAGTAGGAAGAAGACCATGAATTCTCTGTCTAGCACCTCCGTGAAATCTGCATTTCGATCTTTCTAAAGCCAAGGCTTTCTTTTTTGTCATGCTCTGCACCTCTTAAGATGTTTAGATATTCTAAAATTTATATCTTAAACTGAGTGGCTTAAGAAACTAGATGATTATACCATGAGCAAGAGAAAACGACTTTGAATGTAGCAACTTCACTACCACGATGTACAACAGAAGAGAGTTGCCATACGTTAAAAAGAAAGAATTATGCTTCCTTTTATAGATACTAAGATGGTCAACCAAAGGCGATCTAATAAAGATATCAGCCATCAAACTACAGCTTCATAAAGTAATGAGCTTTTCTTTATTAAAAGGAGTGAAACAAAAGTTTAATAGCCATTTACTATTACTGCTGAGAAATGTACTGCTCACCCAATAATAATAGGAGCTTGGATGGTTGGATATTTACATTCTTTGTGCAGAACAATATTTGGAGATAGTAAACGAAGTTTGTTTATCTTAAACCTTCTTTGAATCAATTGTCACCCCTTATTCTTACCACTAGTGTGTCAGGCTTTTTCTATATATTGCTTTCAGAAAGAGTACAATAAATCTAAACTAAAATACTAGGTATATTCATTAGAGCAATAGCAAAGATAATTATCTTGAAAATTATGTCCTTACTAATAAGAACCGGGAGCCTGAGAGAAAAAAGATGTCTTTTCTCAATATTAACTTTATCCTTTCCTTTGTGAAAAATAACTAGGAAGCACCCCTGAATTCTGTCCACCTTTCATAAACACTTAACCATAACTAATATTACCACTTTCTATTTCTTAAATACATATACATAATTTTTACATTAACTTTTACATTAACTTAGTACATAGTCTGGGATGTAATATCCAATCATTTCAACCCCTCATCCTGGACTCTGCCATGATTTTCTCTCAATATTTTACTAGCCCCCAGCTAAATCTTTTGCCACTCATCTTGAAATGTAGTTGTAATAGAAAGTGAACTTGAATCTATCAGCTCACTTTTCAAAGTCCTTCCATGTCTTCTCATATTATAGGAGGAAAAAATCAACTCCTTCACAATGACCTATGACTTTAAAATACTATTTGTCTCTCCTGTATTATTTTCCAGTCACACGGGCTTATGCTGCTTCTTAAATATTGTAGGGATGCTCCTACATCCGGGTCTTTGAAGCTGACATGACTTTGTCTGCCATGTTCTCTTCCAGATACCCAATGGCTGAGTAGCTCATGATAGCATCAACTTTTCTGGTCTTCCATGTCTATTCTATGCAAAATTAAAAACTTCTTTCAATAGCGCCCTGCTTTATATTTATTCTTGATTTTTATTCCTAATAAATCAACTAATTGTATCTCCAACAGAATATAAGCTAGTGTGATTTTCACATAAAAAAAAGTTGATTAATGAATGGAACGAATTGCTGATCTTTTTGTTTGGTTACTATCATTCATCCAAGCATAATACTGTGAATTTCCACAGACCTTCACTTTATGTTTGCATTTAGTTTATTTGGCTCTGTCATCAGGATATAAACTCCACACTGGAAGGCATTTTTGTAAGGTTTTGTGTAGTTTTATTTCCTAGGCCTACAATAGTGTCTGACAAATGTAAGGGAAAAAACTAAGTTAATAAATGAATAAATGAATGTGAATAAGTTAATATTCATTTCAATATCTTTCATTGTTTGACTAGTTGATCATTTTTTGTACCTGAATCTTGTAACCTGAACAACTACTCCTAAGATAACAATATGAAATACATTAACTAGTGTTAATTTCCTACTACTTTTTGAAATTATATATTGTTTCTATCCTTTTGTCTGTCTTGCTTTTTAAAATAAAAAAAAAATCTGGTTATATTGAGTCAAATATATTCATTTCTTGATTTCTGAATTTTTAAATGAAATGAGTATTTTAAGAAATTTAAAATTTTGGTGAATTTTTGAAAAGATACTTCTGCAAGTAGCTGTTAATTATACCAGATGAGACAACTTTAGCAAGTCGGATTTTAGCCAAATTGACAAATGACATGGTTAATAACTTTCAAATATGATTGTGTAGTTCAGCTTGACCCACAGTCATAAAAATACTCTTTCAGATACAAAGACTATTTCTTCAATCTAAATGCTAAGTAGAACCAAAGCCAAGCTACAGTTAACATGCAGCCTACATGTCATAAAATAAAATATAAAAGTTTAAAATAAAATAAATCCATGTAATTGTAAATCACTAAGATTTGAGGGTAGGTTTTTGTCCAGAATAACTCAGAGAAAGATGATTAATGTACCTTTCATGATTAACCATGCTAGCAAAAGATTAAAATTAACCTGAATAAGAACAGCAGCCTTCTCCTTCTGTTCCTGGATAGTCATAATATTTTTTCTTTTTTCTTTCATTAGAATAGTCTGATTATTGAAGGAATTTGGCAGGGGCTCTGTTGTAACTTTCTGTATCCTTGTAGAGAAATTAATCTGTCTGCGTACAACATAACCACGCCAGTATGCCTGGATCACCATAGCTGCCATACTATGAAAAGGAGAAAAGAAAACATTTTTAGTATATATGAATACACAGTGGTAGATAAGAGATTCTTGCCAGCTAGATGCATCACGTACAGTGTCACTGAAAAACAAGACCCCTTCTTTTAAAGACAATCATAGAAATAAAAACTAGGAACCTTCCAATCTGAATGTGAGAATAGGTCACATCCTCACATCCAGAGGAAGATCTGGGTACAAAGGAATTTGTTTATATAAAGGGGATACTACAGAAATTCGATAGGATACTGAGGAAATTGGTGGGAGGATACTGGATGATGCACAAGAGGGGAGATAAGTATAGGAGTAATTTCAATCAACAAGGATAGGAGAGATCCTTTGTAGTGTGGGGCAAGAGCTTTGGAGAGGAAGTAAAAGGAAGCCTTCCTTACAGCAAGAGGCAAGGCCCTACTAGGTTGTCAGCAGCTTCTCGTTTCTCCCTATCTACCACCAAATACTTGAATCCTATTCTGATGAGGCCAGGAGTAAAATCTAACATCTCTCACCCACCTCAATGTGCCAGTTTCAGGTACTGAATCAGTAAGCACTGTGTGTTTTCTATATCCCAGCAGGCTGCACAGCAATAGCAAATGTGGATAAAAATGCACACGGATTGTTAGCTCGCAGTATGTTTCACCATGATGTTTCCTTCCCCAAACATATTATTATAAGAATATATATTATCAATGTACCAGTATAGTTTAAGTGTCAAATATTTTGTCTTGGTAACTTTTCAAATTCCTGAGTTTGAATGTAAAAATTCTGTTCTCCAATGTTCCCATGAAATAGTTTTCAATAGTTTTATAATTATCAAACCTAATGCATTTTTGTCCACTCTTACGTATCTGTATATTTGTTTTAAAACAAAGTGGAATTACACAATAAACTATGACACAGAACCATACATATTTCTCCTATACATTTGTTTGAAATTAAAAAGAAATGAAGCTATTATTATCTATAGTCGCTTAAATTTGTAATTATTATTAATTATATCATTATCCTCATCAGCACCATTTTATCTACTGACACTGAAAGCTTTTAATCTATTTGTTATGAATAGAAAATTGAAGTTGATGACTAAAACTTCTGGTCTAAGATAAACTACTTGCACTTGTAGTACTTGGAAGAAATATTCATGCTCCAACAAATCATTTCCTCTTCCTAGTACAAACAGAACTTTCTAAATTCACATTTGGCCATGTAATTATCCATTCATTCCTCATCTCTTCCACAAAAATAGATAAGGTACTATTTAGTGCATAAATACTATATTCGGTATTTAGGGCAGTAAAGGGAAAAGAAAAGCCAGAAAAGAACATTTGCATTGTACAAGTAGTAAAACTGAAAGGCTTATATTCAACCTCATATCTTATATTTCTCTACAGTATAGTACAGTACAGTACAGTGATGAGAATGTGAAATTCTTCTAAAGCCATCCACTTCATGAACACTTTAGCCTAATATCAAAACTTACCAAAGAAAGCCAAGAGATCAGTGAGGAATATTTAGTGACACACATAGATGAACTGTTGTTTCCCACACAAAAAGCAAGGAAATTAGCTGACTTGAGGTTCCTCTAAGTGCAACATACTCTCCACATCACAAAAAAGAACTCTATCATCATTCTTAATTTTTTCTATCAGAAACAATACTGTACAAAAAATGTCCTGTGCACAGGAGTACATATAAATCTTGCTTAGGAAACTCCAGTATAATTGCAAACAAATCTTACTGAATACCCAAATAACAAGGTTTACCAGGTGGATATACATTTTCTTTTTCCTCTATTTTTAGGTCATATATATATATATATGTATATGTATATTTAATATCATAATTTAAAATTTTATTATCATTGATTAAGAAGTGCCAAATGTATATGAACTCTCAACAGGCAACAGCTGGAGCAAAAACAATGGAATTAATTACTGAAACATAAATCAGGAAATATTAAAGCCACTTTTAATAAATGTTAAACATTTTAAAATATGAAATAAATGTTAGTTTTAAGGTATCAAACTAGTTAACATAATTCACAGAAAAAGTGAGCACTTAGCAGTGATAACGCTTGAGAAAAGCCAGAGTAAGAGCAGGATGTCTGCCTTATCCAGCATGAGACAGCCTGAATTGGATGATATTTTTTCTTGTTGTTTCAACACTGAGGCCACAGATACACAAAGACCAAGAAGCTGACAAACCAAAGTAAAAGCCAGTCATTGCTGGTTCAATAAACAATTAAAGCCAGAGATTCGCTTTTTTACAAATGGGTAATAGTTGTGAGGTGGATTATGTGTTTAATCACAGAGAATGTTGCCCCGCCTCACAGAACTGTTATGCCAAAGAAAATTATAGGTCATACATTCAAATAGTGGCCCATTCATTTATTAGATGTTTTCTAGATCAATAAGAAAATAATGAGCATGTGCACAGGTACATTTTTAAAAGATAAAATTACCTGATTATTCAGAATGTCTTAATTTCTATTTTAGAATGCAATATTTTATTTCCTTGAGAGTAATTTACTCACACATCATAGAGGAGAAAAATAATTTCTCATTACTTGTTTTAAATTAAATAATATTAGAAATTACCAGTCAAAATACAACCAAATTAATCTGCACTGTGACAGTAATTTGTGCACATACGATTAAGGGAATCAGTATAAAACATTTCAGTGATTTAAATCTTTACCAAGGTATTATTTGGTACCATTGACAAAGATCATCTATTAAAAATAGTAAACATAACATATATAAAGGAAAAGGTGTGTATATATCTTACATTTTGTCACTGTGTTCAGTATTTTGGCAATTCCACAGCAGAGAATTTGTCATTGTTGTTTCTACCAATGGGTTCCTTTTGGTGGTAATACTGCTTGTCTTGGTATCTTGTCTTTTCTGGTGTACTAATTTTTCCAGATTTCTTTCTTCTAAACCTTTATGTACAGAGGACTGGCTCAATAGAGAGTGACTAAAGCCAGAGTCTATCGATGTCTCAGAAATATTTGGTGAGTCAGCAGTGTGTCTCCCTGCAGAAGGAAGGAAGGCCCCACTCTGCAGGGCGCTGTTACTGCATGCAGGGGCCAGATGGTTTTGCTGAGTGCTTGCTTCATCTTTCTTAGTGATACTCACATCCCCCTGCTCATGTAGGTATCTGTATTTATTACTAAGGGTCATCAGTTTCTTAAAGTAACGATAGACGTTTTCTGCTGTGTCCAAGGTAAAAGCATCCCTTAACAAAAAAGGGGAAGAACATTTCACAATAAGAATTATATCAACATATATGATTTTAAAAGTAAATTTTGCTTTATTCCTAAAATGAACATTAAACTTTACTGCAGCATTCATTATAGATTGGTTTTACTTATCTATACCAAAAATGTTCTCATTTTGAATGCAATTTGAAAATGCTTAGTTAATTTAGATCTGTTAGTCCAGACAAAATGTCTGGGAGTTTTAGAACCATTTTTATTCAAGATATTTTTGGAACAAATAAATGAGAAAAATTCATTCTTTTACTACCATAACATCAGAAATTATGGCTGCCTAAATTTGGAAAAGTTATGAAGTAAAGTTAAAAGTACTTTCTACATTGACTGTTGCCACTCAAAATATTTGTACTGGATTTTTAAACAAAGAATGTGTATTATGGGAAAGTTTTTATTTCCATTTTTCTTTGGAAAACTATTTCACTGCAAAGAGAATTCAAATAATTTAAGACATAAATGCTTGAGATTCTCTTGAACATTTGTTTCATTTCTAACTTGTAGACTTACATAATTGATCAGGTTTTCATGTTAATAAGATTTGATGTTCCCAATAGCGAATGAAAATGACTTTGCAAATGGATGAGACTTAATCTTAACAACATTTTAATTATTTTCTTTTACTTCTAATTTATTTAAATTTTCACTTATAGTTTTCTGGCTATATTTTATATATAGTCAGAAATTAAATTTCTCTTGTTCTGTAACAATGTAATATATCCATATATTATATATATAGTTTAAAAATGATAAACTCTAGAAAACAAACAGAAAGTTATAATTATTTCTTAGAAATATAAAAATAGATAGTGATTATCTAAAATAATTAACAATTATTACATATCAATGTAGGTTTCCCTGATATATTTTTAATATTTTCTATTGAAATTTTCTGTTTCATACATTTTGTTGGATAATGAAGCAGAAAATATTCAGTACAAACATGGGTACCAAATGTTACTGGTTACATATTGAATCCAGTAGTATTTATACATTAAACACAAAAAGTAGTCTACTTTCTAATATCAAAACTAAAATGAAACTTGCATGGCAGTAACAATAAATAGTTCAAAGGGCTCAATTTTATGCCCCATGTTAAAAAACTAAATTTCAGTATAAGAGATTTCAAGGATCCTTCTTGTACAAAACAAAGTTGTATATTACTACATGTACGCAAAGAAATATTAATTTAGATTTTCACAAAAATATATGTAAATAATCTTTATGTAAATAATCTTAACATATGTAAATAATCTTAATACTGAACATTCTTAAAAAATTTAAATTAAATTTTAAGCAGTGGGATCTGTTTTAATATGAATAGACTATATTCAAAAATATTTAAGTTGAAAAATAATTCAATAAGACAAGCATGCAAGAATGTATAAATAGCAACAAAATTTACTAATTAAGTTTAGACATTAAGAAGCACATATTATTTTTACAGTCATAAAGGAGAGATATAAATGAAAAACTGTGAAAAGTTTTTCCTTTTATATTTACATTTTCTAGAGAAATGCAAGTTTAAAATTTAGAAATTTAATTTAAAAGTATAAAAAGATCAATTATAATCCACTCACTATTATGTATTTAGAAGTAAAGAATTAAGATTTTATTTGACTATGACTCAGATACTTTCCTCCGAACACAGGCAAGGGAGGACTGCTTTCTTCCCTCATGGCTCCATAGTATCTTAAATGTAAATCTAATACATGCACAATACGACATTTTAATACATTATATGCATTATGTGTTTTTATAAAATTTGCTCATGTCAGTGAAAATTTTTATTTACCTAATTTTCATTTATGCTAATATGTGATTTTTTTCAAAGATAAATTCTTCTCCATAGTAATCACTGATGATATGACTGATGACTAATAGAATGAAGGTATGCTTATGTCATGAAACTATCCTCATGATTTCATTTATGTTACATAGAATATTAGAATATATATATATGAAATTTTTTTCAATACACATGTTAATGTACTTCTAAGATAAAAAGGAAGATTTCTAAGATTTCTTTAAAGGCACACCATTCCCCAAAACATACTACTTATAAGCAAGAACATAATTATTATGCTAGCCAAAATATCAAAATAAAAGCCAGGCATGGAGGGGCACATCTGTGATCTCAGCCCTCAGGAGGCTGAGGCAGGAGGATTGTTTTGAGTTTGAAGCCAGCCTGGGCTACAAAGTAAGTTTAAGGCTAGCCTGAACTGCACAGTGAGATCCCATATCAAAAAGACAAAAAAAAAAAAAAAAAAAAAAAAAAAAAAAAAAAGAAAGAAAGAAAGAAAGAAAAAAAAAATCAAAATACGCTAGATAAGTGCTCTTACACTAAGCTATACCCCCAGTCCATGTTTTTTATTTTAAACCCAAGAAGAAGATAACACTCTTACCCTTTTCTAGTGAAATAGGTTTCAGCTAGTAAATGGAATTCTTGAATCTGGGTCTGACAAAGTACCAGCAACTGTCCTAACTCTAGAGGACAGTGCTCTTCAATGTGGATTTCTGAGTAAGAGCTTAGCACATCACCATTGAAGATTCTTACAGTAGGTAACATTTTAAGTAGAGAATTCCTATTGGAAACAGAAAATAAAGTTAATAATCTTGATAATGGAAGTTTAGGTTTAAAATCATCCATATGTGTCACATAAATAAGCCCAAAATGTGTCTCAGGAACACTGATTTGCAAAGAAAATGACAGTTAAATTTGTGTAGCAATTAAGATCATTCTGTCATCTAGAAAGCAAGTTTTAGAGCTCCTGACATACATTTAATTATTCTCAGTTTTGTCAAGATATCAGTTTTTTCTAAATTGACTTTTATATTCAACTCAATCTCCAAAATTTCATTAAGGTATTTTCTAGATATTAGTAAGGTAATTCTTATATTTATATAGACCCACAATCAAACACCCAGAATAGCTAGCAAAATAGCGAAGAAAAAACAACAAAGTCAGAATGTTAGTACGAACAAGTTTCTAGCTTGAATATGAAGTTACACTAATAATAACAGTGTGGTATTGGAAAAAAAGAAAAAAAAAAGGATCAATAGAATATATAGGTGTTATCGTTTGTGTCTAAATGTTCCCCCAAAGCTTCATGCAGTCATGGAGGCAGGTTTCTAGAGTTTGTGACTGATTCATGACCCAATGCTGGAATTTAGGATGTGAGAGCTACCCCTGCCCTAGGGTGAGTAGCCTATATATAGTATAAGGGATAGGAAGAATCTTCTCTCCATACTCCTCCTTTATTGCTCGTGTTGCTTTTTCTGTTTTCTGTCACCATGAACTTTTGCCTTCTGCCATGTGGTACCTGCCTTGAAGCCTGCTAATTGTAGACAGACACCTTTACAAACTATGAACTAAATAAACTTTTCCTTCCTTAATTTTGGGCATCAGGTATTTTCTCCAGCCAGCAGTAAAGGAAAAGTGACCAAGAGATAATTTGTACCAGAGAAGGGGGTTGGTTGCTATGACTGTACTGACCATGTGATTGAACAGCCTTTAGGAATGACTTCTGGGAAGAGTGTGGGAAGGTTCTGAGATGTCTCCTGAAAGAGTAGAGCTGAAATGCCTTAGGCTGTGATGTATGGGGGATTCTGGTCAGAGCTCAGAATACCAAAAGCCTGACAGACATCCTCCTGGTAAAGATCAGTCTTGGGAGGTTTCTGCTGGAAAGAAGGACTACATTGGTTGTTGGAGTCCAGTTGATGTGTGTTATGGCTTGGCCAAAAGTTTGTCAGCATTTTGCTCAGTCCAGAGTCTTTGCTAGAGACTAAGATTAAGGGCAGTAAACTAATTAATCTGGCAGAAGTAATTTCAAGGCAGTTGAATGTTAAGGCTCTGATATGGCTGCTGTTAGGGGCTTTTTAGCCAGATTTATGTTGTTAATCAAGAGCAAAGCGTAAGATGATTTAAAATGTTGTAATCATTGTAGATCACCTTGTATTGTGGTTTTAAATTATGTACTAAGTCCATCCTTTTGTTTTGAATGACTCCATTTTTTTCCCTCATTTGGTTTTATTCTTTTCAAAAAAAAATAAAACATAAGTTTGGCTGGAAAGGAAACTCCAAAAAAGCTATGGATTGCAAAGATAAAGATAAGATGATCTTGATCTCCATTTCTGAGAAGGAACAGAAAGATAGAAAAGATGGCTTGGGGGCATCACAAGAAGCAACACATGTCCACTTTTGGGGCCTCAAAACTGCAAGAGTGAAAGGTTTTGCCTTGAGGAGACAACCACAAAGTACAATGCTGTAGAATAGCTGCAACCACACTACATTCCAGAATGACAATGACAGCCATCTTCAGTTCCAGAATGGCAGTGGCATAGAGAATTTGTTAGTCAGAATCAGGTTCAGAGTTCCCAGTGATCCAGGCACTTGACTCCTACAGTCAAGAGAAAGGAAAGCCTGGCTACTGCTCCAGCTGGCAGCAGACCATGGCATCAACCATGTGGTGCTGATTTGAGGTACAAGTAGTATATAAGAATTCTGAGGTTAAAAGGCTCCCACCCAGATTTCAGAAGAAGGCCTGGGAGGCCGGGCAGTGTGCTCCTGAGAGAGCAATGTGTGAAGCTGTGAGTGTGAAGCCAAAGGTGCAATGGAGACCCCAGAAGTTTGGAGAAGCCAGGAACATGGACATCTGAGGAAACCTGCAAGGAGGAAGCAAAGAGGGCCCAAGAGGGAAGCTTCGAAAGCTACAACCACTTGAAGTGAGGTAGGGGTGGAGTTAGGCAAACATTCTGGAAGTCAAAACTCGCCACAGACTGCTTGGGATGTGCTAAATGGAACTACAGAACTTAATATTTGCCCTGCTGCATTTTGGACTTGCTTTGATCCCAATTCTTTATATTCCCATTTTATCTTTTGGAATGGTAATGTTTATCTTATCCCATTGAATGTTGGAAATGTTTAACTTTCTTTACATTTGTATAGGGACTCATAAGTAAGAATTTGCCTTACATCTCAGAGGAATTGGGACTTGGACTTTTCAGCAATGCTGAAACTGTTGGAGCTTTGGCAACTCTTAGAGATGGACTAAAACACTTTTTACATAAAGGATATGCATAACGCTTTGGGGAACCAGGGGTGAAATGTTTTAGTTTGTGTCTGGATGTCCCCCCAAAGCCTCATGCAGTCATGGGGGTAGGCTTCTAGAGTTTGTAACTGATTCATGGTCTAATGCTGGAATTAAGGATGTGAGTGCTATACCCACCCTAGGCTGTGCAGCCTGTATACAATATGAGAGTCAAAAAGAATCTTCTTTCTGTGGTCCTCCTTTTTTTTATCTGTCTTCTGCAACATGACTGGTTGCTCCTTTGCCATTCCACTCTGCCTTGGAGCCAGCTAATTATGAACTGACTCTTCCAAACTGTGAATTAAATAAACCTTTCCTTCCTTAACTTTGGGTGATGGGTATTTTTTTCTCAGCAATGAGAGAAAATTGGCTAAAACAACAGGCCAGAAATAGACTCACATAAACATAATAATGTGATTATTTTTGCAAAAAAAAAAAAAAAAGACAGTGCAATGAAGCAAATACTATCTTTTCAAAAAACGGTGCTGAAGTAACTAATCATCCACATAAAAGGTAGAAATCTAGGAAAACTTACATACTTCATAAAATACTAACTCAAAATGGATCACAGACCTAGCTGTAAAATGCAAAACTACAAAACCTTTAAAATAGGAAAAAACCTGCACGACCTTGGGTATGACAACTTAATTCTAGAAATTAGTACTCTGAAATACAAGGTCAAGAAGTTGAGAAAAGAAGCCACAGGCAAAGAGAAAATATTTGCAAAACATATCTGATAAGGGGCTGCTATCTAAAATACACACAGAAGAGTTAATAGTCAGCAATAAGCAAATTCACATGCTGATTAAAAATAAGCAGCAGACCAAAATAGACATTGCACTAAATAATGCATATATATGACAGCTATTCCCTGGAGAAGATGGTCATCATCATGATGTACCCATGTCACCCTCTCTAGTGTACAATGTTAATAGTGAGGGATGATATGGTTGTGTGGAGATGGGATTCTCATCTTGCAGTTAGCCAGTAACTATGTAAAAGTTAAACTTTATTAGTTAAAGAAAGAGAAAGTAACAGTTCCTGAATACTAAATAAAGGATGATGAAGTATGATTACCAACATGGTAAGATGCAAATGAGAATTCCATACTCAGAATCAGTTAGTCCTTCTATCTATTCTGTAAGGGTGGAAAACATTGATTTATATAAACACAGTTGTAAACTAAAATTTTGTTATTTTCTCTTTATGAAGGATGTGACCGATAATGATTAAAACACACAGATATGACTAATTCAGAAAGCATAATTATATGTGTATAATTATAATTTTCATAATTTTAGAAGTAAACAAATAATCATGAAGAGAAATATACCTTCCTGAAGGAAAGCCAAAAGAACACCAGAGCTCTTTATTGAGAGTAAAGATTGTTACTACCCAACATGTTCTTCATCTCCTTTCCCCCCAAAAACTCAATATTTTTCCTTTTACCAGTACTTAAGAGGGAAAGCAATTAAGTTTGTTCTTCAAAGTAATTATAAGATACTTCACAATGTTAAGAAATAGATAAGTCTTGTTTTTTTTTCTCATAAAGATTTAGAATACTAAGATTTGAGTACAGTACATATGTTTTAAACCTGGGTTTTAGACTTAATGCTACCGATGTTTGCCAAATTATAAACAACCACATTTACCCACATGGGGTTAAGTAAACAGAATACAGTGTGTTCCTGACTGCATTTATATCAAGATACAATTCAAAAGCACATTACAGTATCTCTGAGGATACTTAAGACTTTGCCAATCAGTTGGGAGATATGTATTTTTTAAATATCACCTTTCTTGTTTATTTTTTAAGAATCAGTGCATTCAGAAGACACAAAAAAATCCACATAGTATAATAAAATCAGTGATTGCTCAGGTTTAAATCTGAAGACTAAAAATCTCAAAAATTCTGATTGTTTGCAAAGTGCTTTAAGTTTCCCAGAAAAATAAAGTACAAAATTTGTAGCACAGTAGCCAATTCAATACTAGCAGAAAAATACATTACATGAAATGAGAAATTGACGTTTTGGGATAGTTATATCACAGGGATGTGATTACTGACTGATTTACATAAATGATATGGAATTTCCTTAGAACACTATTCTCAAAACACTTTTTCTGGTGACTGCATACATATTCAGAGAAATACTAGCTTTTTATCAGAAACAATTTAGGACAAAGTAATTTTCACATTTTAACAAAATAATCCTATAGGCAAAACAACAGTTTGTCCTATTACAATTATGGACTGGTAAATATACTTTACCATAAGCATATTTCCAATAATAAAATGAGCATTTATGCATCCCTATATCCAAAATAATAAAGAGAAAATGTGTTTAAAGCTAATCTAGTACGTTAGGTTTGTTCTTTGTTGATGCAGAAGAAATATGTGGAAACTGTTGATATGGAAAAATGGATCATCAGGGCATAAAATATGCTTTTATCATAAAATGTTAGTTTTTGAAATGGGTACTGATATAAATGTAATT